ATTTTAAAAAATATTTTCTAACCCTGGATGCTTGAATCTGTAGATAGGGATCCATAGATACAGGGGCAGAGGGATACTATATATTTTGGAATTGCACACTTGGAGCTCAGAGGTATCTGCTCACCTTATTGTGGTTTGCAATGAGTCTGTAATCCGATTGCATTCTTCCAAAATCTTTCACCTTGTCCCGCAGGGAATTCTCCATGTCCTTGCACTTGGCCTGGCATTAAAAAAGAGGGAAGAGTAACATATTAGTGCCTTCATAGTAAAGCCTCTTTGCCATTTGTTTCAAGGAAAGGGAAGCTCAAGGTATAAAAGCAATATAGATTTTTATTTTAAAGAAATCTAAAAGGAAAGAGAATTTACCCCTTTTGTTCCAAATGTTGTCATGTGCCTTCAAGTCGTTTCTGACTTATGGTGAGCCTAAGGCGATCCTATCACGGGGTTTTCCTGGCCAGGTTTGTCCAGAGGATTTTGACATTGCCTTCCTCTGACGCTGAGAGAGTGTGACTCACCCAAGGTCACCTAGTGGGTTGCCACGACTGAGCGGGGATTCGAACCCTGGCCTGTAGAGTCATAGTCTCAAATCACTACCCCACACTGGCATACCTGTGATACCTGTAATCTTTACGAGTTTGTTGAGCGTCTGTTTAATCGGTTATTTTTGGATTATGTGCTTCTCCTCTGAGAACACTACGCAAGGGTTGTTGAAATGTTTTAGTTCAGACACACAGTGTTTGTGGTGGCAGCAGATATTCAGGGGTTGTGGTGTCCAGTGGGGAGCTCAGAGGAAGAAAGTCTTACAAGGGACTCACAAGAGCATCTAGAAGGTCCCCGCATTACATCGGGGTGGGACAGTCAGACGATCCTCACCGTTGCAAGCTACTGCCAGTAAGAATCATAGAATCATAGAGTTGAAAGAGACCACAAGGGCCATCCAGTCCAACCCCCTGCCATGCAGGAACTCCCAATCAAAGCATCCCCGACAGATGGCCATCCAGCCGCTGCTTAAAGACCTCCAAGGAAGGAGACTCCACTACTCTCTGAGGGAGTGTGTTCCACTCTCGAACCGCCCTTACTGTCAGGAAGTTCCTCCTAATGTTAAGCTAAGCCTCAAATTCTTTAAAAGCATCACATTTTAACCAAATCTTCACTATGTATATGTACAATTGCCCCTTCATTTTCATGGACTTCAAATCCGCATCCTGTGCCTATCCATGGGCAGAAAACAGAGGAGCACATAATGGGGCATGCACCCGCAGGCACATGCCGCCATTCAAGCCAATGGGGCTTGAATATCAGCGAATTTCCATTTTCACCGGTCTGGAACGGATCCCCCACGAAAATGGAGGGGCAACTGTAAATACGCTTAGGTTGTACATATGATATTATAACTTGAAGGTGTAAATTTGATTTAATCTATTTTTAAGGGGGGGGTTATATGCTCGTTGTATTGTTTGGGTTTTGTGATTGATTTTACATGTAAGCCGCCTTGATAGCTTGTTGGTGGATGAGGAGCGCTTTTGAGTTTGACCCAGGGCATTGTAATTTATTTTAGCTATGTTGATTTGTAATTCTTTTAGGTCGTAAGGTTTTTAAAATTTTGTTAATGGATATTTTAATTATATGTCATTTAATATTGTTTTATTGGGAGGTGGGATGTTTTATGGGAATTGATGTATGTACTTCTTATTGTAAGCCACTTGGATTGATTTCATTAAGCGGGATATAAATAAATGTTATTATTATTATTATTATTATTATTATAGCTTTGGCTAAAGGCGGGGAATGAATTATTATTATTATTATTATTATTATTATTATTATTATATTTAATTTTGCTCATTGTTTAGGTCACAGCTATGAGCATGACGTTCAGTAGTACATGGGAATGATGATTTACAAATAATATTAGTGCAAAAAAAGCATTACTAAGGATTCTGCACAGTGTGAAATGGAAGAAGGTGGTACAACTGAATATTATCCCTTACTCAAGGAAGGTGAAAAGGACCTGATCCTTCATCCTGACAATTGCAATTCCTCTCCAAATCCAGCTCTTTCTCTCTCCTTCTGATCACAATTCCAGCCCTTTCCACCCACTGGGCCAAAGCAATACTCTTAGGAGTTGCAAAGGTTAAGCCATTGTGTCTAGAAGCCATTGGCTGGACTCCTGCAAAGTCACAGACTGTTCACCGAAATTTTCGCTTCCAATGCACTTCCTATGAGAAATGCAAAGGGACCTTGTTGCAACTTTTGAGACTAACTGGAAGAAAGAAGTTTGGATGGTGATCAAGTAGGCTGAAGTCTACGAAAGCTTATGCTAGACCAATGTTTTCCTTTCAGTCCGGCTTCATCCTCACTGCAGCAATAATTCAGTTTGACACCACTTTAACTGCCCTGGCTCAATGCTATGGAACTTTGGGAACTGTAGTTTTATGAGGCATTTAGCCTTCTCTGCAGAGAGCTCTGGTGCTGCAAAAAACCCCTGCAGTTCCCAGAATTCCATAGCATTGATGCCTGGCAGTTAAAGTGGCATCAAACTGGATTAGTTGGTCTCTTCCAACTCTATAATTCTATTCGATGATTCTATTTCTGCATGCACTCTCAATCTGAAAGGTGCTACAAGATCCCTTTGCAGACTGATTTTCCAGACTAACACAGCCAGGTCTTTGAATTCCTATGAGAAAGTCATAGAATCACAGAATCATAGAATCATAGAGTTGGAAGAGACCACAAGGGCCATCCAGTCCAACCCCCTGCCATGCAGGAACTCCCAATCAAAGCATCCCCGACAGATGGCCAAATGAAAGGTCCAAGACATTTATTTATTAGGCGGACAAAAAACACCCTTCAAACATTACAATTCCTTCTCATCATGTCGGAATGGGCAACTGCAGCAGGTATGGGGGCTGATTTCCTTCCCTTGGGACTCTCTGGAGGCCATCTAGACTGACCAATAAGAAAGAAAATCCAAAAAGAAAATAGAGCTGGCCAGATGTCCACTTCTGGGTTGTTGGATTTATTTTTTGGAGTGGTGGGGGGAGATTATTTATAAATCGGGATCTCTTTGTTCAAATCGGCTCTGGTCATTCTTAGCTCTTGAATCATTCATGCTGCTATCCCGCCCACGAGCTGGAAGTCAGGAATGAACATGAGGTTTGCTTTAAGTGACTCACGGCAGCTCATACTGGGGCAGAGGCAGACGGGAATTCGGGCTGGAAAAAGTGGCTCAAGCTTGCATGCACATGCACAAAAAATGCCAGCTCCCTCGCTGCAACTTCAAAACCCATTGAACTCTTCTCTGCCTCTTTTGTAAGGTTCTCCATCGCATGCTGGGGAAAAAGATCTCCAGCAATAGCCACCGACTGTACCCTTGTTTTGTTCTCTTATGCCTTCAAGTCCTTTCCAACCTACCCTGGGATTATAGTTTTTGTGGGTTTTTCGGGCTGTGTGGCCATGTTCTAGAAGAGTTTCTTTCTGACATTTCGCCAGCATCTGTGGCTGGCATCTTCAGAGAATATAGACCCACTCTCTTCCATTCCAGCATTCTCTGAAGATGCCAGCCACAGATGCTGGCGAAACAGCAGAAAGAAACTCTTCTAGAACATGGCCACACAGCCCAGAAAACCCAGAAAAAACTATGGATGCCGGCCATGAAAGCCTACGACTTCATATCCTGGGATTATCTTGGCAAGATTACTCCAGAGGGAGGTTGCCATTGCTGTTGCCTTCCTCGGAGGCTGAGAGCATGTGACTTGCCTAAGGTCACCCACTGGGTTTACAAGGAAACAAAACCTCTTTGCACTTTCCTTTCCCCATAAATTATCAGTGCTTATCTACATCAAGAAAGACGGCGTATGTGTAGTGGTTTGGATGATGGACCAGGGTTCGAATGGATGATGGACCTTGGGTGAGTCACGCTCTCTCAGCCTCAGAGGGAGGCAAAGGCAAACTGCCTCTGAAGAAATCTTGCCAAGAAAACCCTGTGATGATAATTGGTAATACAGTCACCCCTCCATTTTTGCGGACTTGGAGTCCGCATCCCTCGCCCATTCGCAGATGGCAAATGGAGAGGGACAAAATGGGGGGCATTTTGTCCCTCTCCAGTATAGTAATAATTTAATTCTGTTTTAATGTAACACTTTGCTATGTTTTTAATTGTACTGTTTTTAATTTTGTAAGGCTCTCTGAGTCCTAGTTTTGGGGAAAGTTCGGTAAATTATTATTATTATTATTAATAATAATAATAATAGCATTAGGGTCACCATAAGTCGGAAACAACTTGAAGACACACAACTACAGCAACAGTCTACATCAAGGGTGGTTCAATCCCTGGGGATTTGGTCCTCCATCCCTTCAACTCTAGGTATGAGTTCAGGATCCTCCCAGACCCAAAGGTTCCAAGACCCAAAACCCGAGACCCAAAGACAGTGGCCCCTGGCAATGGTTTTAAAAGTTAGGCATTAAGTACCAACTTTGTGGCTCTCAAGGTTGTCATGCAAACAAACCCATTCTCATCCAGAGAACAAGACAGAGAGGCAGAGAACACATTTTCCCATTGGCAATTAAGGCACTAAAGCTTAGCAAAAGGGTTTGTTTGTTCCCAGGTCAAAGTGAAATTAGGGAATTATTCCTTCCTATAGGGAATCGTATAGGGAAAGGGAATAAGGAACATTTCATCCAGCCTGCTTGCTGCCATGATTGTCTTATTATGATGATGTTCAATACTTTATAAGAGTTATACTATACGCTAGTGAATTCAGAGTTGGGAACCGAGTTTTGCAGTTATGGGGTGTGTTAGATATTAAATGGTAACGGGTGGTGGACTTGATATGGGTTGTTAGTGGAGGCAGTTACGGGACGGTTATATAAGGAGATATTCATATGAAATTAATGCTTGGAAGTTAAGCAAGGTCAGCACTGGTTGGCATTTGGATGGGAGACCGCCAATGAATCCCAGGTGCTGGAGGCTCTATTGCAGAGGAAGGAACTGGCAAAAGCACCTCTGAGGATTCCTGGCTTAAGAAAACCCTGTGGATATTGATGGGGTCATTGTATGTCGACTGGTGACACCTAAACATATATAGAGCAGGAGAGAGTGAACTAAGTACAGTGGGCCCTCCACATTCACTGGGGTTTGGGATGAAGGACCCCTGTGAATATGGGGGGAAATGCAATTAAACCCCCCCCCCCACTATTCTTTTTACCTAAGAGAACAGCTCTCTGGGAATCTCCAAGTCCTCCTGTGCAACTCTATGGTCAACATCTGCCAGATGTTGATCACAGAATCACGCTGGAGGACCTACAAATAAAAGTCCAGCCTTGAAACTAAAGTGTCTGGCCTTAGACTCTGGGAGCCTTATCTTAAAGGGCCAGGAATCCTTGAACACTCAGTTTTATAGAATCATACCAGTTGGAAGAGACCCCCAAGGGCCATCCAGTCCAACCCCTTTCTGCCATGCAGGAACTCTCAATCAAGGCACCCCCAACAGATGGACATCCAGCTTCTGTTTAAAAACCTCCAAAGGAGGAGACAGCATAATGCTCTTCAAGGGAGTGTGTTCCCCTGTCGGAACAGCTCCTACTTTCAGGAGATTCTTCCTAA